TCTCCTTCGTGTTGTTCTGGTTCCTCAGAGCTGCAGGACTTCATGTTGCAGAGAAACATGAACCTCAGTGAGTTAAAATGATCCACGGTGCATTAAATGATCCAGAAGCTGCTCAGAGTCCAGAGCGTTGCTGCAGACGGATCAGAAACAACGTTTACTGTCTGAAACCACAGAAGGCTGGAAACCGAGCAGCGTAACGAGGACAGGGACCCGCAGCGACTCTCTGGATGTGAGAGTCGAGCCGCGGCTGTAAACGGCGACGAGTTTTATTTTTCTTCTCGAGCTTTCCCCTCGGCCTCCTCGAGCGTGACGGGTCTGAACGAGATAAATAAGGAAGGAAACCGAAGTGAGGGATGAGTCCAGAGCCTCACGTGACCGGACTCAGACTCCAGAATGTGTGAATTCATGCACTCTGCGGTCGTTTTATCGTTTTGGCTTTTTTTTTTATTATTTACAGGATTAATGCACTTCTGCTTGTTATCTGTTTGTCTGTGGACAGAAAAATATGTAGCGCTGCTGTAAAACTCAAGGAGATAGCTCCGGCTACAAATCACCGGCGGCCCGGTGCAGTTAGAGGCCGACTCCACACACACACGGCGCTGCAGTTTCTCCGCCATAAATTCTGTCCAATCACAAAATACATAAGAAGCCGGTGTGATTGATGTCAACACGCCAAAGGAGGAGGATTTTCAGCAACGCTGCAGCTCCGGTTCATCCATTAAGGAGGGATTCTAACTGTGAGAACCTCCTCCGGTCCTGTTTCCTCACAGCTAACACCAGTCTGGTACCGGAACCAGTCAGAGTCTGAACATCTCATTCATTTGTTTATTTTCACCATTTGTCTGATTTGACTTTTGGGTTTTTTGTGTAACACTGGAAATGTGTTTTTAGAAAGTTCGTAAAAAAAAAAATGTCGTCCTCGTGGTTGTGTTCTTTTCTCAGTTATTTATTCTTGTTGACTTGTCGTCTTATTCTCCGTCTTCTTCGTTGTCTTACTCATTATCACCTTTGTCCACTTCTTCATCATTTTCTTCTTCTTCATCTTTGTCCTCTTCTACTTTTTTTTCTTCTACTTCTTCGTTTTCTTCTTCGTCTTCCACCTTATTGTCTTCTCCTTTGTCTTTGCCATCTTCTTCTTCTTCTTTGTCTTCATCATATTCTTATCTTTCATTTTCTTTGTGGTTTTTATTTCTTGTCTTCTTCCTCTTGTTCTGTTTCTCTTTCTTTGTCATCTTTATCTTTCTCTCCTCCATCTTGTTCTTCTTTTTCTCATGATAGAAAATCTAAATTATGACTGTGATTACAACGATGAATTTAAACCTGAGAATCATGATAATAATGAGAATGAGTCAAAACATAAGAAACAAGAATCCTTCTTCAGAGCCAGTAAGTCAGACTTGTGGCTCAGCTGATCCAGGTTTCAGCTCTGAGCTCAGGATCGTTTCTTGTTTACAGGATCTTGAGGTGTATTTTCACCGCTGCTGCAGTTTTTCTGCCATAAATTCTGTCCAATCAGGAAATACATGAGAAGCTGGTGTGATTTATGTGAACATGCGGAAGAAGGAGGATTTTCAGCAACGCTGCAGCTCCGGTTCATCCATTAGGGCTGGAGTCTGAGAGCCTCATCACAGACTGCAGAGTTTAGATAAATATTGGCGCTCTCATATCGACGTTACTCAGATCTACTGCAGAGCAAACCAGGAGTTCTCAGCCTGGAGGTTCAGCTCAGACCCGACCAACCCGGCTGGAGAGCGGACGGCTGGACCAGGCTGCTGCAGTCGGTGCTCACAAGGAGGGGAAAGTAGGAAACTGGCCCACAGCGGCAGAGCCGTGATGGATGCTCACTGCAGAGCTCAGCCGGCTGACCTCCACAGCAGCAGGAGGCACCGGCGCTCCCACATACAGAAATGTTTTGTAGCTCAGGACTCGAGGGAACGCCGGCCTTCTGCAGACGTACATGTGCTGTTTGACTACATTTAATCGGAGCAGAAGAAGGTGAGCAGCAACGCAGACGAGTTAAAGCTCCTGTCACAGTTTGACTCGCTGCATAAAGTCCTGCAGCTCTGAGGAACCAGAACATGAAGGAGGAGAGAGGACTCAGAGATGTCTGCTGTCAGCAGGACTCAGAACGACAGAGACCAGAGAGAAAGATGAAGAATGTAAAAACCAGATGTGACAGATGTTACAGACACTGGACAAAACATGGAGGCTCCACGTAAACACTACAGACATTCAACTATCGACATTTTCACTCTTTATGGGTCTAACTTTTGTCATTATGTGTGTTATTGTTGTTGCACTCTGTTGTTTTTATCATTTTGTGTCTCGTTTCAGTTATTCTGTGTCTCGTTTGTGTCATTTTGTGCCTCGTTTCTGTTGCTTTCTGTCTTTTTATGTCGTTTTGTGTCTCTTCTTGGCAG